CAGCCTCTGTTGCAGCCGGTCGTCCCTCATACCGCACACGAGCCGGTCTCGGAGGGCCTCTTCCACATTCGCGAAGTTGCAGGGCCTTGCCGCCTTTCGTAGGGCAGCCACAAACTCCGCCACCGACTCGCTGGCCGCCTGACCCCTCTTGTAGAAGGCATGCCGGCACGCAATCTCCGACGGCTTCGGGGAGAAATGTGCCTGCAGCTTCTCGGTCAGGTCCTTGTACGAGACGGTCGAGATGTCCGCTGGTGCCACCAGGGACCGGGCGATGTCGAACACGCTCTTTCCGCAAGAGCTCAGGAGCGTCGCCCGCTTCTTCTCCTCCGTCGTGATGTCGGAGGCTTCGAGGTGGAACCCGAACCTTGACAGGTAGGAGTCCCAGTCCTCGGTCGCTGGTTCGAAGGCCTCGAACTTCGGGCTATTGGCCATCGTTGCAATCGCTGCCACCGGCTCCGGTGGTGCCCGTTGCTGACTGGCCACGGCGAGCTGCTGCTCTTCGTTGTCCGTCGTGGGTCTGGATGTAGCGGGGCTGCCTACCCGCACTAGCATCCCATCCTCGTCGCCACTTGTTAAGTCCGGCGCTTAACAATGAGTAGGAGAGTGATTTCAGCAAAGACTCAAGTTTATTCAGCTCTTTGTTCACTTCTTCGACACGGTACAACATCTGATAGCCCGAACAGTTTGCCCATTGAAACTGCCCGGTATTTAAACATTCCCGGCTAACATAGCCACTCCCACTATACACATAACAACCTATCAGGTTGAGCGCATAAGGACCAATCACAAACGTTCCCGCTTGCAGCTTGCTTGAATGTGATTGGGTCGTGAGTCTTGGACTAGAATCCTCTGTCCAAGACGAAGCTTAACATTGCTTCCCTATGGGAGGTTTCCCATACATCCTAATGTACTCATGGCAGCTAGAATACATTACAGGTGGGACGCTCTAGCATTTGGGCAAAAAACTCTATGGTCACCATAGAGTTTTTGCCTAAATGCCAGAGTGTCCCTCATGCGACATGCCCGGCACGATGACGTCACCTTGAGGTGACATCATCATGCTGGGCACGTTGGGTGGGACAAGGCTCTTTGGGGGCAGGGCTCCCCCACCAGCCAGATGGCCAGTGGCAGATTGGGCCCCCCAAAATTGGGGGGATGGCAACCCTTATCAGATGGTAGGAGGCCATATGAGTCATGGTGCCAAGATGAGGACAATATGTCCTCCCTCTTGGTGTGTGCAGGAAGAAGGGGACAGAAGATCTGGGAAGGAAGGAAGGAAGGAAGGAAGGTGTCCCTGATAGAACAATCTACATATCAAAGGGGACAGTGGCAGAAGAGTAAACACAGGAAGAAAACATTGCCTCTCTGGCTATCTGACTCTTTTGCCACGAAGTCTGGAGGCTGAGGCAGGGGACAGTGCCCAGTCTGTCACTTCCAATAACCTTAGCCCTGGGAGCAGGGAGAATTTGGCTCCTGTTCCTGGGCTGGGCCCTCTTCTCTGGTCCCCAGTGAGGAAGCAGCAGATGTCTAGAGGAACTGAACATGGATTAAGGGTGTCTAATGGGCGGGGCAGGCAAATAGGCTCCACCCACTTAGCGCCATATCTAAACCATCCTTTACAGATATATTTAATAGTATTAAAGCTCTGCATCAATTTTATCTTGCTGTTTGCGATTGTCTAACACCCCCCCACACCCAATATTTTATTAGTATTTTTTCTTTTCAGGTTTACTTCTCAGAATTTCTTCTCTTGACTTGGGAATTTGGAGTCTGGATTCTGAGCTCATTGGCCTGATCCTGACTGTTCTTATGTCCCAGAAAACTTCACCAACCCCACCCTGGAAGGGGGGGGGGAAGCCTTTTAATCAAGTAACGTTTTCTATCAGTTTTGTCAACTGAATAACAGAGGAAAACACGCCCCAAGATGAAAGGGAATTCTGGACCGAGATTTCATCTCTCCCTTTATTTATTCGTTAACTTAAAAATAAACATCGCTGGCTGTACCACCCCCATAAACCAGACATTTAAAATGCATCTGACATTGAGAAATGCCAATGGAGCAGCCTGTCTGTCTGTTGCTTGTAGCCAAGGACTTTGGGATGAATAAAAAGCAGAATAAATTGCATTTCTCTGGGGTCTGCTAAATAAAACATGCATTTGGAAAAATCATTTTTAAAAGTAGTTTTGTTCAATATCTTAGTACATCTGGTCCCCTTTCCCCTCCTCTGGTGTACAAAATGTTTTGCATATTTACTCCGACGTGTGCTACATTTTGCTTAAAAATAGCTTCCCCCAAACACGGGAAGCATCCCAGTTAACTTTTTAATATACGATCAGCTACAAGAGGAACCATTTGCGGATCAATATTGGGACTAAGAGCCAAGGTCTCTTTTACTGGAGATATTTTTACAACTCCAAAGGCAAAATGTGCTTTTATCATTGAAATATAATCGCGAGCAGAAACAGGAGGTTCTTTTTCTCTCCCTTTTATATTTTTTTGATCCAGCAAGATGCCTTCCCCCTAAATTATTCATACTTTACTTGTAGAGTACAGAAGACCCTGTTGACATTCTTAATGAAAGAATTTCCTCACACACACAAACACAAAAAAAAAACCCCACCCGCCCTTCAAATATTTCCTTTGATTTCATTTCATCTAACATGGGCTAAATATAACAAAACAAGATGGCCTTGACATAGTTTTTGTGGATGTCTCTCAGGCATTTCCCCCAATGAGTTTTACAGCCCCAATCCAGTCTCAAGCCTGACTCTACGGGGTCTCCATTGTGAGACCCCCCAAGGTCAACAGCCCAAATAGGAGCTGGAAGTACAGGAATTTAAAAGCATGGCTCTGATGACCAGGCAAAGACAGGTAGGCAGTCTTTAGAAAAATCCACGTATGGTTTCTTTAGTACCAATACTGGAGCAGCACTACATTGACACAGAAGGCTAATCAAGAGGCTTTGACTTTGATTTAGATGCGGTCCCTCAGAGTGGGTCGAATGATCATGTTATGAATGAAGGTTTGGTGCTGTTTTTAAATACATCAATGAATGAAGGTATCGGGATAGCCCTGTTTAACAAATACGAGTATGGATTTCAGAGCAAACTGCACAGGATGTTTTCAGAAGAGTAGCTGTGTTGGTCTGCGGTAGAAGAGCTGGGTTCGAGGAGCTTCAGAGGGAGATTGCAATGTGAGACTGCTGAACTTGAATTCATTCACAGATTCAGAACAATGGATGCCCCCCAGGGCTACATAGGGACATAAGATTCTTATCTCATGACAGATGCTAATTTTCTGCCCCTAAGCATTTCTCCCCTGCTCTAATCCTTTCTTTGCAATACCCTTTCCACCTTCTGAGTGGGATACATGGACTCAGGGATCACCATTCCTACTTGTGTCTGATGAAAGGAACTTTGACTCTTGAAATCCTATTGGTCTCCAAGGTGCTACTGGTCTGAAATCCTTCATAGGATATCATTCTTATTTTTAACAAAGAGAGTGTTGTCTCTTGAAAGCTCATACCTCGAAAATCTTGTTGGCTCTAAGGTGCTATTGGACTCAAATCCCAAATACAGCCAGTTTGGTGGAGTGGTTAGCAAGCTGCCATTCTGTTTTCTGTGACCTCTGTGTACATATCCTTACCCTGTTGCACCCGGCTTGTTTTACTATCCTGCTTCTGTGCTGGAATGCATAAGATAACTACTGGTGGATGTGTGTGGGAGAAGATGCTGTAATGCTTGCCTATTGCTATCTCATGAGAACTGCACCTGTGTTTTGTCTGATGTTCTGCCTGGTTCCCATGGACTGGGCGCGCAACCGTTTCATTAGCCCGCCAGCGGGAATATTATTCATTGGATATGTATCTGTTTGAATTTCCTTTATTATGCTCGCCCTAACTGTGTATCCCCAGTTCTAACAAAGAACGTGTTTGAGTATGTCTTCAACGCTTGTTGGATCCCCAAGCATCGAGAATAAATCCACGTTTTAAGAAAAGCAAAATTTCACATGAGCCTGTTGAAGAAGGATCCTGGCCCGTCTCCCTGGAGACCAGCAGTTACTCCTC